ATTTGAATAAAAATTATAGGATTATTTCTTAATTGACATATGTGCAAACATGTGTGGAAAAAATATTACATCTTCAAAGCTCCAATTAAACGATAATCTATCATATTTAATTCTGATATAATAATGATTAAACAAGCACAATTGATTATACAAATTTTAATAAATATGCTATCAATAAAAATTTTATATTATTATGCATCTTTGCAAATGAAACACAACTGTTACCACGATTCAATTGTAGATTGATGCCATGCGCATTATAATGTACACTGATTCGTCTCGCTCCTAAGTCTCAACGGCTTTCTAATTGGTTGCAGTGGTTCTATCTTTAGCCGCGCGAAAATTGAACTATAATTGATATGTATATATATATTTTAACTGTAGATTTCTATACAAAGAATTTTTATAAAGATAGATTGATTAAAAAGATAATAAAAATAGATTATTATAATTAATTTAGTATAAAAATTATCCAAATTAGAGAAGTTAAACGTTTAAAATTAAAATTGATCTTCTAAAATTTAATCGATATATTAAAAAAATAAAAAAATATACATATATATNATGTTCCATCAAAATTATAAAATAAATTAATACAATATGAAAAAATAATATAATATTTTTCCATATTTTTAATAATATTTCATATAAAAATTATTAAATGATATTTTCTTTTTAATTTTTCTTTGTAATTATTTGTATTGAAAGTAATTTTTTGTATTAAAATATATTATTTAATCTTCATGAATAAAAGAAAAAAATTAATTTTATTGTATTAATAGTATATTTAAAAATTTGTTTACATATGTTAAAAAACCCGATAAAACCGAAAAAATTTAAGAGTATATTATTTTTACTCAGAATTAATTGTTTCATTTAATCATTTAAATTATACACATTACAGTAGAAGGATAAATAAATCGAGAAATATAAATTTATATTTTGTCATCAAATGTTTTGATTCTTATTTTTATTTATAATTTTATTTATAGTTTTTATAAAATTTAGATTTTAATTCTAACCACTATTAATTGTTTTCTATATCGATAACGTCGCATGTGACACGAAAATGGTAAAAGATCAAGTGACTCCCGAATTCTTAAGACACAAAAAAGCATAGCATGTCACGTCTATCCTATACTTCGTCTGTGGTATCTTTTCGTTCAATATCACAGATGACTTGTTCGTGATATTATAATTCGTTAAATGTAAATCAAAAAATATTTACTATTGATTATATAATATATAAAAGAATATATATATAAAAATATGTATATTGATCTTTTTCACATATATACTTTTTTATATACATTTAAATTTCTTTTTGTTTTTGTTCATTGTATTCACTTTTTAAAAATATTTTTTAAAAAAACAATAAAAAAATCCTAAATGAGACAATTTGAGTTTTAATTTTAAAAAATATTATTTCGTAAAAATAAATTAGATATAAAGATTTATTAGCGTTTAATTAAATATATAAATATTTGTAATACATATATTATATAATAAATTATTTATATAATTTATATAATAAATGTACAATAAATATGTAAATTTATACATATATATATTTTATAAACTAATATATTTATTCATATATGTGTATATAAAAATGTATATATTAATTTGTTCGAGTCTTGCGCGCCATCTATTGGAAAAATATGGTACAATATTTCATTGGAATTGTTTCGCCCTTCTATTCAGCTTTTGTCAATATCACCGACAGAGTCAAATGTGATTTGAAGATGGCGATACAAGAGTAGGATTGAGCGGACGCTTCGCAAAGAAGCTTCCTTCTTGCAGTGTTAATTAAAATTCCAAGCCCAATTATACATGGTGAGTAGAAAGTGAGATACTGTTATAAAGAAAACTTTGAACTCGTTTAGATATCCTATTCTCGGACTTGAGCAGAATGTGAACAAACAAGAGATTCGCATCGGTTAAGCGACGAAATCTCGCGATACGTGTATACGTATGTATGAACCGTCTCTCTTTCCAGACTGGGAAGTTCAATGCGGCGCATAAGCATGTGTCACGTCGCGATGAAACAAGAGCAGGAGTTCTATAGTAAGCATCTTTATATTCATGAATATACGAGTGTACGAGCTATTATTTGTGTACTTATGAAACATCAAAAAATTAATTTAAACAAGAATCATGAGAAATGGTACGAAGTTGAACCATTGGTTCAATTCGGTTTTAATTCGAGCAACATGAAACAAGCTATCTCTTTAATTAGTTTCCTTGATTAATCTATACGACTAATGTAATCAATTATTTAAAATGATAATTGATAAATAGATAATAGAAACAAGTTATCCGATTACAATGATTCATATTCGATAAATTATTATTAATTAATAGAAAATTAAAAGTAAAGACAGCTGGAAAGTAGAGATTGATATTAATCGATGATACATGAAAAAATAAAAAAAAAAAATTCATCGATAATGATTGATAGTTATTTTAAATTACATTAATACCAGATAGTAAAGAAATACCAAGGGTATTTCTCTTGATTTCTTTCAGATGGTGGAGGGTTCTTCGCTTTTCGTGCTAATCAAGGGAACAATTCAAAGGGGAGAGGTCTAAGACTACTAACACAATTCACTAATCGGAACGGAAAGAAATTATTTGTATTGATATACAAATATATATCTTTATTTGTGATTGCGAAATAAAAGGAAAACAAGCGAAAGACAGAGAATTGCAAAAAATCAAACAATACTCTGATTCACACAAAGTTAACATACATACGATCTAGTCAAGAAAAGAAGACTTACTTCTTAAAGAGAAAATTATGACGCTTTGAAATAATGATGATACGATGAATTCGAAACGTGCAAGCGAAAAATATAAAAATACATTAGCAAACAAATTGAACTATGAATTTTGTCAAAATTCTGTTTTGAAAGTATTCCGAACGAAGAAGATTGCGTTTATTAGAAAATTGAGGATCGCGCATGGGTATTACGAATAACATCAGAGATAATTCGTAATAAAATACTAATAATGTATCGATCACATTGGAATTTATTACCAAAAAAAAATATGTATTACCAAAGAAACATTTAATCGAATACTTTAAGAATATAAATAGTGGAATATGTATATAATCAACTAATATCCTAATAACACTGATCAAAGTTTTATTGTTATTAACGGCAAACGATACCAAATTAGACTTAATAAAGAAAGATAAAGAATAGAAAATTTGATCGATACAAAAAAGATCGAATACAATTGATCGCGTATTGAAGATTTATCTATTAACAATTATATATACATACAAAATCTTGACAAACGTATATTTATATATACGTATAGATTTAAATATAAAAAAAGAATGATCTTTTCATTCGTATTAAATATGGTTAACATAGTTGATTTGATACGTGTTATCATATACGTGTTCAACGAATAAACGAAAACGAGAAAGAGAGAGAGAGAGAGAGAGAGAGGAAGAGAGGAAGAGAGGGAAGGAAGCAAGAAGCGAGGAAAAAAGAGAAAGAGAAAGAGATTTTTTCGTTAGTGATCTATTCGTTATTGTTTGTTGAATGAGCGGACAAAAAAATGAAAAATAAGAATAATTAAGACCCGAAGAAATTAAATATCATAATAGAGAATGAGAGATAGAAAAGATGTAGAGAAAAAATAGAGTCTACAGTTTGTAGTCTAATGCAAAAAAATCATCGTGTTACGGATGTAGTACAAAGATGGATATAGTACGAAGATGTCAAAGATGGTGAAAATGATTCGTCATAGATTCGTCTATATTGGATGAAATGAACAAATGTTTCATTAAAAATTATAAATATTACTAAGAAAGTGTATATCGAAGCCGAAAGAATTGTAAGAGCTGTGAATTTTTTTTTCGAAAAATTTTATACGAAAAATAATAATATAATTTTTTAATCACGCTGACAAATAACAATCGTATTAAAGAAAGAGATAATGACAATTAGTTGAAAGAAAGTAATAAAAAAGAAAGATGAGAGATCATAGACGAAGAGAAAATTAAAGAAGGAG